CCATCATGCAATCCCCGCAGATCCTGGATATACCCCTGTACTGCCAAACAGCCCGTTGACGCCCTCAACGTTTTCACCCGCTGTTGCTCGGGACCTTCACCTGTACAACTACTTGACAAGTCAAACTACCACCGTGCTGTCTTTCTGTCGAGCCATCGCTTTGACTTAACATGCCCATCTTGCTACAGGAGCTTCTCTGTACATAGCATGGTTCTATAAACCAAGTCTCTATGCACCATCAAATGACATGCAACTTACTCAGTAATCACGTTAAGCCACCAGTGACCCAAACCGAACAAGCACATTAAGGTCAATGACTAGTCAACAACCCTAGTACTTGAACCAACCGGACCACCGAACCCACCTTTTTTTCAGAAAAAAAAAAAGAACCGCTCGGTTTCTATCCTTGGTCAAAGAAAACCAGTCAACAGGAAGTCTGGAGATCAGATCGATCCCCTTCCTTCCTCGCTCCTTTCTACTCGCCTTCCTCAGCCCAATAGCGCCGCTGCCCAGCGCCTATCGCGCCCTTGCCGCGCCGCTAATTCCTGCCAACCGTCGAGCACTGGAGCCGCGCCGCCTCACCGTCCTCCACGCCGCCACCGAAGACACCGCCGCCGATTACGTCGGTCGCCTTGACGCCGCCGCCCGCCTCCCTGCGGGACCTTGCCGGTGAGGGCTAGTGCCGCCGCCACCATGGGCTTCCCGCCGGTGAGGATGCCGACACCCACGAGAGGCTGCCCTTCCCCGACACAAGAGCCTACCGCCCCTGACGCCGGTGTCTGCCGCCTCCTCCTGGAGCCGGCCCGCGTCGAGCTCCTCCATGACATGTACTGCTGCTCGCCGAAGCCATACACCGCCGCCCAAGTTCGTCGCCAACAAACCACGCTGCCCACGAAATTGATTTCGCCCTTGCCTTGTGATTTGCTCGATTGCATGTTGCAATCCCGTGGAGTCCCTTTGCTGTAATTTTGGGAGATTAATCATCCGATTTTGAGTCCAAATCGAATCCTCCTCGTCCCCCTTCCGTGTCCGACGCGGTATCCTTCTCGATCTCTTCATGTCCGACGCGGTATCCTTCTCGATCTCTTCTTTGTCGTGTGTATTGAAGCCGAACCTGTGCTCGACTCCTTTTCTACCACAGCCTCTCCGAGTCGAGTCCTGCATGAAACAAAACGGTTTGCTACTACCAGCACTGCTTCTGTCTCCGCCGCCGGCTCAGCCTCAAAACCGCACACACCGCCGTGATCCTGACCTCCAAGCTGTTAGTGATATGCCCTAGAGACAATCATAGAGATGATTGTATCACATACTATGTTTACATATTTATCCGACATTGTTTCTTGAAATAGATAACTCCTTATTGGTTAATGAATATGTGATTCTTTCATGAGACTCTTTATGTTGTTTGTTACTATTTCTAAAGGTTCCCTGATCAAATATCATATGTGGAACAAATATGTTTATATGATTAGCACATGTATTAATTGATGATCATGTCTCATGAATCATGGTATAGAGATACCAAATTAATAATGTGGACACATGTTGGTGAACATGTTGTTGGATAGACCCAACATGAGACACTGCAAGAGTCATATGTGTTGTGTCATCAGTGATCTCATTGAGTGTTGGTGTTGAATCCTTAGACCTGAGATTATCATGGTTCTCAACATGTGTAGTAGCTTACTTAGGGACTGCTAAACGCTACTCCGTAATTGGGTAGTTATAAAAGTAGTTTTCGGGTATGCTATGAAACATGTAGTGGGATATGAATAATCAAGATGGGATTTGCCCCCTCCTATGGAGAGATATCTCTGGGCCCCTCAATGTTGTAGATTATGGAAGTGCATGGCCATGCCAAAGGTGATTGAGGAGTCAATCACAAGTTATATAATCTATCAACAGGTTCGAGTGAATGATTGAGCTATTAGAGGATGGCACATATCTAGCCTTGAGCTTAATCGATATCGTGAGGCAAAGGGGTTCATACAAGTATACACTAGAGGTTTAGCCGATATGATCTTTATGTATGCCCGGTGGGTCAATACGTTCTGCTAGGGGCCGCTGTTGATGCATGGACCGAAAAGGAGTTTTCAGGTTACAGCCGAGTATATATGAACCTACAGGGTCGCACGCTTAATGGGTCGGAATAAGGGGATTGGATGGAGATCCAATATGAGCTTACTTCGGATAGGGATCCGAATAGGAGTCCTACGGGCTTTGAAGGCCCGAGTGATGGATCCTATATATTCGTGAGAGGTGTGACCGGCGGAGGCATTGCATCACGTGAGAAACCCTAGCCGTCACTTCCCTCCCCGAGCAAAACCCTAGTCGCGCGCGAGTGCTAGCACATCTGCGTGTGGCGTTCCGTCCCTGTACGTGTGGATACCGGTAGAGGCGCCGCTGGTTTGCGGTGCTGATCGGCGTGAGAGTACGGCGAGGAGAACGCACGAGGAGGAGAAGGTCGAGCCGGTGCGATCGACTACTTCCTCTACATCAACGCGTGCTACTTCGCGAGAGTTCCTTCGACTTCTCAGCGTCTTCTTCCGCTGCACAGCGCGTCGAGTGGTAACGATATATGATCTAATACTTACATGGTTCCTGGTTTACACGATAGAAAATTTTGATTTATCCTATCGTAGCCTACGCATATCCCAACACAAGCTTCACGTACCCCTAGCAACGTCCTGGTTCCAGATCAAACGCTTCTCTGTTCTGCCATCCATTGCATGTACGCTACTAAGTAGCAATCCCCCATGCAGTACCTTGTCGTTAACACCTCCAAAACAGCCTGTAGGATCCACCCACTCCGACTTCCGATTGAACGCCATCAATCTAGTCACGAGCCAAAGCCGACAAGTCGCATGCCGTCTTCCCAGCCACCAAACGACCCAAGCGCTACATCTAGCCATCTCCCTGTCGAACGCAGCTCATTGAAAGGCCCAGGCCACCCCGCCAAGAGTGTTCGATCCACCGACCGAGAACGCCGATCGCCTCCAGCTTCAATCAACGTGAGCATGGGGCCCCACGTCTCCCTGTTGAGAGTAGCTCACCGGAAAGTCCGGGCCACCCCGCCCGAAGTGTCCGACCCACCGATTGGATCGCCAATCGCTTCCGCCGCCATCAACCCGAGCACCACGTCTAGTCATCTCCCTGTTGAAAGCAGCCATCTAATGGTTCAGACCGCCGCCTAAAGTGTTCGATCCACCGATCAAATTCCGTTGATCACCGTCGTGCTCCACCTTGCGCACATGTCCCTCCCTAGACATAAACCGCGAGCGGCGCGGTGTGAAGTACCTCCATCACGCCTCTAACATGGATCTCCCGCAGGCTCTGATACCACTTGTTATAAAACCAGCCCCGAAATCGACATCGGTAGCTAAACGCGGAAGAAAATGCCATAGGAGATCCAAAACGATGACGACACCGAGGCACGATATTTGATAACAGAGTTCAGCTAAGCCCTACATCTCCGGGGCACTGATTACGGGCGCTCCTCCCCGATCCAGCATATTACAGCGTATCAGAGTTACAACGACTCACGGCCGGTCGCCGCCGGCAGCTGCTCCCTCTCGCTATGCTATGTCGCCATGCGGTTACAACAGGCACGCCCCTCTATTTATAAGAGATCCTAGGATAGAGTCCGACTCATACTCTATTCCTATACCTACTACAACTCCAAGTTCTAAACTGTAACCGACTACGTACACATATTCGACACAAACTCTAACATATATTAATCTATCTTATTGAATTTTCTGAATTTTTTTCATAATCGTTTGGATGATATGCAAACAACGAGTTGACGTTTTCTCGAGAGTTTAGAATCCACTCCCCGTACTGAACAAGTTGTTTCTGAGTTTGTGAGTGAACAAGTTGTTTCTGAGTTTGTGAGTGGTCTCAGTGTCTTGGGCTGTGTAGAGTACTTCAGTAGTAGTAGATAGCTGGTCATGTTAATGTACACGCTGGTGTGTGTGTTTTAGTCTTGTTAGAACCAAGAACAGCCTAATCTTTATCATGCTTGCTAATGAAATAAAGTTTATTTGTTTTATGTTGGCTTAACTCACTGTGAATGTGGTGACGTCTTTTTCCTCTTGTGCTCACTTGCCAAATTGAGACTTAGAGAGAGCCACAGAAATGACGTGATTGACGGCAGGGTTGTTGGACGGCAGCCTTTCTATCGGAGAATTGGGTATATCTTTTCTTTTACGCTTATACTTATCAGTAAAAATTTAAATTTTTAATTTTTAATTTAGAGTTGATTTTAAAGGTTTTTTTTATTGAAATTTATTTTTCAGCTTTCACTTTAAGATCGCTAAGAACATGTATATAAAAGTTTTATTTATAAATTATTTTTCGTTTGTAAATATGTCGTTTGACTTATTTAAAAATAAGTGAAACAATGGGGCCAAAATGGGCCTGGCCCAAATTGCGGGAGCTTACGCATGTTGCCCAGGCCGTATCATCAGTGATGCACACTGTAGAGTGTAGACGGTACACTTTCAAAGTATTAGCTTGACAAGTGGCAGAATAGTCAAATCACCTCTTTGCTGGAGTAGGACTGCTTATCAATTATCAAGTCGAAGTTTGGCTATTGGGTAGTTTCGGCGATCCATCAGGAACGTGCCCACCGTAACACCCGAATTAAAGAGCATCCACCATCCTTAAACTCCCCACCCTTATCAACTTAATCCATCTGGAAGTATCTCAAAAGTTAAGATTCCATTCTCTTAAAAAAATGGCTAAATCCCACGTTTTCGAAAAGAGCATTGCATCGGAATCGCCATTTAATTGCATCAGCATTGCTGAAGAGAAGGATAGTGCCATATGGTTCAAAAGGGCTTTGACGTTTACTTTGAAGTTGGTAAGCATTTACGTTAGCTACTTGCAAATCCAAGGACCAACGGCGGGAAGCAAGCGTGTTTCCGGGCGTCTTCCGACGACGACGGCAGACAACGCCGTACTATTTAAATGTCTCACCGTGGGCGCAAGGTATCGAACTTGCTAGCCTCATCCTCCCTCGGTGTCTCTCAGATGGCGGGGCTAACCAAGAATCGTAGCACCTCTGCTTGCCGCCTCTGCTTCATCCTCCTCCTCGTCCTATCCGCCACCACCACCACCCTCTCCACCGCGCTGTCCGGACCCTACTCCTCCCGGTGCGCGTCCCCGTCACCAGCTGCCGACCAACACACCGGCGTGGACGACGCCTCTGCGCTCCTCCGATCGTTCCGGATTACCTCTGGCATCTTCTCCGGCGAAGGGGCGGAGACCCTGTTCTCCCCTCGTTCCTACTACTCAATCGTGGGTCAGCACTCGTTCACCGACAGCTTCGCCAGGCGCTCCTTCTCCCTTCTCCCCCACGCCGTGTCCCGCACCACCGAACCCAGCGTCATCCACCTCACAGCCACCCTCACCCTGTTCGGCAGCCGCGTGCAGTTATTCGAGAGCGACCTCACACGTGAATCCGCGAAGGAAGGACATTCCATCTCCTTCTACCTCGACGGATACTACTCGTCCGCAACCACGCAACTCTGTATGGTCGGCAAGGGGAGTGACCTTTCCATTGATGGTTCAGTGAAACATTACATGGACGTCGCTCTCCGCCTCCGGATCCCCAGCATTTCCAGCCTCACCGACCCCTTCGTCACCGGCATCCTCGAGGGCGCCGACTTCGAGCCCTTCTCCCTCCTCACGTACGCCGAGGGGAGCAGCTACAGGTACAGCGAGAACACATCCTGCCTGCCGCTCCCGGTGCCGGAGGCCGCTGCTGCCGCGCGGCGGGCCATCCAGACGACGCCGGACGGCAACTTCTCGTGCGACACTCTCAAGGCGCGGCTCGCCGCGTCGTACCGGCTGGAGTACGGGCGCGCGCACGCGGTGAGCTTCCCCTCGCTGCACGAGCCACGCCTGCACGTCAACCAGCTGCACTGCACCGCGGGCGGCGCGGTGCGAGCGTACGCGGTGTTCTCCAACGACACGGCCAACATGTGGGGATTCAGGGACTTCTTCTCGTCCCAGGAGGCGGCGGTCGTCGCGGACGGGCACTGGGACAGTGACACCAACCGTCTCTGCCTCCGCGCGTGCCTGGTGGCGCGCTCCTCGCCGGCGACGCCGTCAGCCAGCACTGAGCTTGAGGTGCGCGAGTGCGGGATCGGGATGAGCTTCTGGTTCCCGGCCGTGTGGACGGTACGGGACCGGAGTGTCACCGCCGGCGTGCTCTGGAACGCGACCCAGCTGAACAGCAGCGACAACCACGCAAGTGTAGGCTCCGACGTCGCTCTGATAACCGCGTCGAGCTTCGAGGAGTGGAAGGGTAACCTCTCCGACGTGAACTACAACTACAGCTTCACCATGCTTGAGGAGGCCAAGAAGCATTACCTCAAGACCGGGCCGAGCGATAGCAAGAAGAATAGCAAGGGTTCGTTCCCGGGGAACTACTCTCACTCATACCGTGACTTCCGTTTCCCGTTCTTCTTGGAGGGAGAAACAGGGTCTGGAACCGCCTACCCGGTCGCGATCGGCTCGGCGATGGTCGACGGTGACAGGCTGGCTGCCGAACATTCGTTCTCACGGCACGCGGCGGCGCAACTTGAGCAGGGTACACTGGTGAATGTCAGCTATGGTGTGACGTACTACGTTGCACCTAAGAATTGGTCTTCCTTTGGCCAGCTCAAAGACCGGTATATCAGGGCAGAGGGTGTTTACGATCCTACCACGGGCTCCCTGTGCATGGTTGGCTGTGGAGAGCTGAACGGCTCAATGGACTGCCAGATATTGATAACCGTTCAGTTCAGTTCGTTTGGTAATGGTACGGGATTCAGCCATGGCAGGGGAAGGATCAGCAGCCTGAGGAATAGCACCGACCGTCTCTACTTCCCAAGGAGGGATATTACCTTATTTGGCATGTACTCGCACGAGGTGTCCAAGTCAATCTGGAGGATGGACACGGAGACCGTCGTGGTGGTGATCTCCACGACGTTGACCTGCGTCTTCACCGTCCTGCAGATCCTCCACACCAAGAGGAACCCCAGTGCGGCTGCTTCCACATCGATCACCATGCTCGCCGTCCAAGCCTTGGGGCTCGTCACCCCTCTCGTAGTGAATTCCGAGCTCCTGGTCATGAACAAGAGGAGGCAATTGGGTGGGCTCGACGGAGACGGGTGGCTCCGGCTCAACGAGCTGATGCTGAGGGTGCCCACGCTGATCGCCTTCGCGCTGCAGCTGCGCCTCCTTCAGCTGGCATGGTCCGGCCGGACAACGGCGGCATGCAGCAGCGAAGGCGAGACCTCGCCGGCGCCGGCGCCGGCCGCCGAGAGGAAGGTGCTGCGGACGTGCCTGCCTCTGTACTTGCTCGGAGCCGCCGTCACCGCCGTCGTTCACGTGGTGAACGTCCGCGCCGCGAGGGAGGCGGGGCTGGTCGATCGCCGTTTCGCTCCGGCAGAGGTCACCACGCTGTGGGCTGACCTGGCGTCGTACGCCGGGCTCGTGCTGGACGGGTTCCTGCTGCCCCAGGTGGTCTTCAACGCGGCGTCCGGCTCGAGGTCGAGGGTGAGGGCGATCTCGCCGTGGTTCTACGCCGGGGGAACCGTGATCCGCGCGGCGCCCCACGCGTACGACGCGTTCAGGGCTGTGAGCTACGCGGCGACCCACGTATACGCGAGTTCGCGCGATGACTTCTTCGGCGTCGCGTGGGACATCGTTGTGCCGTTGGGAGCGGCGTTGCTGGCCTTCGTGCTGTTCTTGCAGCAGCGGCTTGGAGGTGACTTGTTGCTTCGTTCAAGGAACAGGAGGAGGCCGTGTGATTATCAGTTGGTTTCCACTTTCCAAAGATAGCTCAATCTCAGTAGAAAATCGAGAACGCAGGCACTCAATCGGAATGAAGCCTGTCAGATGTTGAGATTATGGGCATATAATGATTTAATTTATTCCATAAATAAATCATGACATTACAGATGAAAACTAGCATGAACGCATCATTAGATCTACACATGTAAACTACGCAGAATAACATGAACAGATCAAATATGCGCAACATATTGAACACGTACCGAGGTGACGAAAAGACCGGCTGCTTGGTCGAAACTTTTCGCAGGTGTCTACGAAGGCACGAAACACGCGAGCGAAGAGGAAGGCGAGCCGTCGCGAACGAACAGGGAGCAGTCGCGCGAAGCGCTTCCCAAAAACCTTATTGCCGCCTTCTCCCGGTGCAGGACGTCAAAGGCAGAGGTTCCGGAGACCTGCTCTCCCGATCGCTGGTGCACGCCGGCGAGCGGGATGGAGTAGTCTACGAGCGACGGTGCAGTTCAGAGTAGGAGGCAAACCCTAGATTGATTTTCGCATATCCTGCGTGAAGACGGCGGGTCGGTTTATATAGAGAAGGGTCGCTTGATCAGGGCGCCCGCACGATCTCTACTGCGCGTAACCGAACCGGATAAGTCGCGCGTAACTTATCCGGACTCCACGCCGTTTGCACGCACCGGATTTTTCGGAACGTTTCCAAAACAAAAACGAATCCGAATTTGCAGCAAAACAAAACTGCAAAAGGAGGCTGCATCTGCGCAAGGGTGAGGAGCCAATTTTTCGGACCATTCGACGCGTACGTCGTGCACGCGCGCCGCCTGCCCTGCCCTGCCCTGCCAGGCCAGGCCAGGCGAGCGAGCGCGCACGTGTTTCCCCTCTTCTCTCCACCACACATGCTTCAAGTGGTTAGGAGGGCATCCTCCCTTTTAAGGAGGTCCCCCTCTCCTAGAATAAGCAAGGTGGTACTAAACTCCACATGCATGCCATCCCATGAGGTGGGCTTTTTGTGATTTTCCAAAGAATTAATCTTCGAGTGGGCTAAGGCCCATTCATTAATTCCAACAATCCCCCACCAAATCTCAAAATCCCACTGAGATTTGCCTTTTCCAATGTACTGTTTATATACCAGCGGTTCGATGGAGACCAATTAAGGTTGAACATCCACCTAGAACTCCAAGCTACACTTACTCACAACTTGAACAATGGACTACGCCTTGAATTGCAAGTCTTGTGCAAGCAAGTTTCACTCAAAGTCTTATCTGGTACTAGACCGTCTGTAGACTACCCCTCGGGTGGAGCGTATAAGTCATACTCCTAGGTCTTTAGTAAGCTTCCTAGAAGATTCACCCAAAATCTTCATAGACTGCGACCAACAGTCAAGCTCACAAAGGTGAGTTCTTTCAAGAATGCTCTGCAGGACAACATCTTTGCTAATTAAAGCCAACAGAACTCATTAAGGCATAGCCAACCTGCCTTGCAGCTCACGAGAGTATATGCATCTTCACTTGGAGAGGGTATATATATTGGTACTCTCCTATAGTTTATTAATGGTTTGTTCTTCCCAGGATCTAATTCACGGGATCTCCGATCACATAGACTGGGTTACCACCATAGTATAACTCACATGGGTCTCAAACCCATCTCCTTCGATGCATTGTCTATCACATTTCGTGATAGTCCCTTCGTGAAGGGATCTGCCAGGTTTCTCGCTATTTGGATGTAATCCAACGTTATAACTCCGGAGTTTCTTAATTTCCTGACAGACTTCAATCGTCTTTTCACATGTCTAGACGATTTCATATTATCCTTAGAACTATTCACTTTGACAATTACCGTTTGATTGTCACAGTTCATAAGATTAGCCGGCACCGGTTTTTCAACAACAGGCAGATCCATTAATAGATCACGCAGCCATTCTGCCTCAACAGTAGCAGTATCCAGTGCCGTTAGCTCTGCTTCCATGGTTGACCTCGTCAAAATTGTCTGTTTGCAAGACCTCCATGAAACAGCACCACCACCCAGTGTGAAAACATATCCACTAGTGGCTTTGATCTCATCCACATCAGAGATCCAGTTAGAATCACTATAACCCTCCAGTACCGCAGGATACCCAGTATAGTGAAGCCCCAATTCCACAGTACCTTTCAGATAGCGTATTACTCGCTCAAGCGCACGCCAGTGATCATCTCCCGGATTAGAGGTAAATCGGCTCAACTTGCTCACAGCAAAGGAGATATCAGGCCTAGTTGCACTAGCCAGGTACATCAACGAGCCAATGATTTGGGAGTATTCCAGTTGATTCCTAGCAATTCTCTTGTTCTTGCGAAGCAACAAGCTAGGATCATAAGGTGTTGGAGAAGGCTTACTATCAATGTAGCCAAAGCGATTCAAGATCTTCTCCACATAATGGGACTGCAAGAGTGTAATCCCATTCTCACCTCTAATTAGCTTAATGTTTAAGATAACATCAGCTACTCCCAAATCTTTCATATCAAAATTTTGAGACAAGAATGATTTAACCTCATTTATCACCTCAAGGTTTGTCCCAAATATCAGTATGTCGTCAACATACAAGCACAAAATAACTCCCTCACCCCCACCATGGCGATAGTACACACATTTATCTGCCTCATTGACTCCAAAGCCTGCAGATGTCAATGTTTTGTCAAATTTCTCATGCCATTGCTTAGGAGCTTGTTTCAGACCATACAAAGACTTCAACAATTTGCACACTTTGCCTTCTTGACCTTCAACTACAAACCCATCAGGTTGATCCATATAGATCTCCTCATCCAGCTCTCCATTAAGAAAAGCTGTCTTAACGTCCATTTGATGAACGAGAAGACCATGTGAGGCTGCTAGGGAAAGTAGCACACGAATTGTGGTCAATCTAGCAACAGGTGAGTAAGTGTCAAAGAAATCTTCGCCTTCTTTCTGAGTATAGCCCTTAGCAACAAGCCGAGCCTTGTACTTTTCAATAGTACCGTCAGGCCTAAGCTTCTTCTTGAACACCCACTTGCACCCCACAGGTTTACACCCATAGGGTTGCTCTGTCACCTCCCAAGTCCCGTTAGCGATAATGGAATCCATTTCACTATGGACAGCCTCCTTCCAGTAGTCTGCATCAGGAGATGCATATGCTTCTGAAATTGACTTAGGAGTGTCATCCACGAGGTACACAGTAAAATCATCACCAAAAGACTTAGCCGTCCTTTGTCTCTTACTCCTTCGAGGAGCTTCACTGACATCCTCCTCAGAGACAAGTTCATGTGTATGTTCAGTTTGTTCTGGTGGTGTGATTGAACTGGGAATTATTTCAGAGGGTTGGTTCGAACCACTATGTGTATCCTTCATTGGGAAAAAGCTCTCAAAGAAGGTAGCATCACGAGACTCCATAATTGTACCAACATGCATGTCCAGTACCTCGGATTTAACTATTAAAAATCTATAGGCAATGCTATGATGAGCATATCCCAGAAAGACACAGTCCACAGTCTTAGGTCCAAGTTTGCGCTTCTTCGTTATTGGTACATTGACTTTCGCCAAGCACCCCCATGTGCGCAAATAAGAAAGTGATGGTTTTCTACCAATCCATATCTCATATGGTGTTTTGTCCTTATTTCTGTTAGGAACTCTGTTTAACACATGATTTGAGGTCAACAATGCCTCCCCCCACCATGCCTTAGGCAGTCCCGCGGTGTCTAACATGGCATTCACCAAGTCAGTCAGTGTGCGGTTCTTCCTTTCAGCAATCCCATTAGACTCGGGAGAATAGGGAGGCGTCCTCTCATGTATGATGCCATGTTCCCCACAAAATAAGTCAAACTCGTGCGAGAAAAACTCTCCACCACGATCAGACCTAAGCCTTTTTATCTTTCTGTCAAGTTGATTTTCAACTTCTGCCTTATAAATTTTAAAATAGTCTAGAGCCTCGTCTTTCGTTTTCAACAAGTACACATAGCAAAATCTAGTAGCATCATCAATGAATGTCATGAAATATCGTTTTCCACCCTTCGTCAACACCCCATTCATTTCACAAAGATCTGAATGTAGGAGTTCTAGTGGTGCCAAGTTTCTCTCCTCGGCAGCCTTGTGAGGCTTGCGAGGTTGCTTTGATTGCACACAACTATGGCACTTAGAACCTTTGACAATGGAAAACTTAGGAATTAAACACATGCTGGAAAGCCGAGACATCAAGCCAAAATTAATATGACATAAACGTGAATGCCAAACATTAGCCTCATCATCCACACTGCCACAAATATGGTTCACAGACTTATTGCAGAAATCAGAAAGAGAAAAGCGGAACAGGCCTCCGCACTCATAACCTTTACCAATAAAATATCCATGTTTAGACACGACTACTTTATTAGACTCAAAAACCAACTTAAATCCGTCTCTAGTCAGACGGGAGCCACTAACAAGATTCATGTCGATAGAAGGGACATGCTGCACGTTCTTCAGCTGCACGATCTTTCCCGAAGTAAACTTCAGATCTACCGTGCCAACACCATGAACAGAAGCATGTGACCCATTCCCCATTAGGACGGTGGAACCCCGTGCGACCTGATAAGAAGAAAACAATGAGATGTCAGCACAAACATGTACATTGGCCCCAGTATCAACCCACCAATTAGTAGATTGATTAACTGAAAAAACAGTAGGTAAATTACCATACCCGCTTCCATCTCCAGTGTTGCCAATGGTCACATTAGCAGACTTAGAAGTCTGCCCTGCAGGTGCCTTCATCCCCTTGCGTTGTGGACACTTCCTAGCCAGATGACCAACTTGGCCACACACAAAGCAAGTCCTCTCATCCTGATTAGGATTGTTGTTGTTCTTCTTCTGCTTCTTGAAGTTGGTGGTCTGCTGAGCTTTGTATTTCCCCTTGCTCTTTTTCTGGGCCTTGTGCACAACATTGGCGCTGGACTGCCCACCATCGCCCTTAGACGCGGCATCTTTTTCCCGAGCTTTCTCCTCAACATCAAGAGACGCTATCAACCCCTCAACGGAGTATTCCTGTCTCTTGTGTTTGAGTGCAGTACCGAAACTTCTCCAAGATGGAGGTAGTTTCGCAATAATGCACCCAGCCACAAATTTGTCGGGTAAGACACACTTAATGAGTTCGAGTTCCTTAGCCATGGTTTGTATCTCATGAGCCTGTTCGACTACAGAACGGTTGTCAGCCATCTTGTAGTCATGAAACTGCTCCATGATATACAGATCATTGCTAGCATCAGTAGCACCGAATTTAGTATTCAGTACATCCCACAACTCCTTAGCGTCGGTCATATGCATATACACCTCGACCAGACGATCGCCAAGAACGCTAAGAATGCATCCCACAAAGAGAGTAGTGGCTTCCTTGAATTGCTTCTGCTGTTCAGCAGTAAGAACTCCTTCAGGTTTGCCAGTACTCACCCAGAAGCATTTCATAGCTGTCAGCCACAGAGTGACCCTGATCTGCCATCTCTTAAAATGCACACCGGTGAATTTATCCGGCCTCAGTGCATCGGCAAAACCAGCCATAGTAAAATCACAGTGCCTATAATAAGGTTTTTGGATTGTTGAGATTATGGGCATATAATGATTTAATTTATTCCATAAATAAATCATGACATTACAGATGAAAACTAGCATGAACGCATCATTAGATCTACACATGTAAACTACGCAGAATAACATGAACAGATCAAATATGCGCAACATATTGAACACGTACCGAGGTGACGAAAAGACCGGCTGCTTGGTCGAAACTTTTCGCAGGTGTCTACGAAGGCACGAAACACGCGAGCGAAGAGGAAGGCGAGCCGTCGCGAACGAATAGGGAGCAGTTGCGCGAAGCGCTTCCCAAAAACCTTATTGCCGCCTTCTCCCGGTGCAGGACGTCAAAGGCAGAGGTTCCGGAGACCTGCTCTCCCGATCGCTGGTGCACGCCGGCGAGCGGGATGGAGTAGTCTACGAGCGACGGTGCAGTTCAGAGTAGGAGGCAAACCCTAGATTGATTTTCGCATATCCTGCGTGAAGACGGCGGGTCGGTTTATATAGAGAAGGGTCGCTTGATCAGGGCGCCCGCACGATCTCTACTGCGCGTAACCGAACCGGATAAGTCGCGCGTAACTTATCCGGACTCCACGCCGTTTGCACGCACCGGATTTTTCGGAACGTTTCCAAAACAAAAACGAATCCGAATTTGCAGCAAAACAAAACTGCAAAAGGAGGCTGCATCTGCGCAAGGGTGAGGAGCCAATTTTTCGGACCATTCGACGCGTACGTCGTGCACGCGCGCCGCCTGCCCTGCCAGGCCAGGCGAGCGAGCGCGCACGTGTTTCCCCTCTTCTCTCCACCACACATGCTTCAAGTGGTTAGGAGGGCATCCTCCCTTTTAAGGAGGTCCCCCTCTCCTAGAATAAGTAAGGTGGTACTAAACTCCACATGCATGCCATCCCATGAGGTGGGCTTTTTGTGATTTTCCAAAGAATTAATCTTCGAGTGGGCTAAGGCCCATTCATTAATTCCAACATCAGAGACTGAAGGAACTGCTCCTGTTCTGAGTGTTCTGACTGGAGTTGCTTCATTGCTCTCTGCATTGGGTTTGTGCTTGAGTGTCATCTTTGAGAGGCAATAGTCGCCCACCAGATGACTCGAGTCATTTTGGCCATCTGAGTCGTTTGAATTTTACTGTACTGTTCTTCCTTTTGGCTCACGCCAGTTGTACAATTTCAATGCATCTTAGGCCTTGTTTAGATTTCAACTTTTTTCTTGAACCTTCCAACTTTTCCGTCATATCGAACTTTTCTGCACATGCAAACTTCCAACTTTTCCGCCACATCGTTCCAATTTCTTCAAACTTCCAATTTTGGCGTGGAACTAAATACAGCCTCACCAAAATTAAAAGTTTGACTAAAATTGAAATTTGAAGAAAAAAGTTGGAAGTTTATATGTGTAGGAAAATTTTGATGTGATAAAAAAGTTAGAAGTTTGAAGAAAAAGTTGAGGACTAAACAAGACCTTAATAAAGGATTCAAAGTTTGAACTCTTATCTTGGAGCCTGTGCAACACGACCAAACATGAGAAAATTTACAAGGTGTTCTCTTATTCTTGGATAGGTATATACCCCCTTATAATTTTGAGAGGTAAAAAATTAAACCGGATTAACTGATTAGAAAAACTAAGTTTATGATTAGAACTGGCAGAGTTTTCTAATTGTTGTGAGGTATAGAGAGGTATATATAGCTTACAGTGTTAGTTCGGAGGTATATACTTCTTATGGTGAAAGTATGTATACTCTACCTTTTTTTTTGCGATTATATATATTCTTCCTCTTAATAAGCACAAATATCTATGTCTAAAAAAATGTAAGAAAAATCACAAATATTTATAAAGATAAGTTTCCAATCATATTCCAACCTGTAAGATTAATTCTAGTACCTTCTTTTATGAAAAGGTATATCTCAAATATGGGGAGGTATATACCTATTGAAGGATGAGAGAAAATATCAAAACTTATAACGTGTATATAGTATAACAATAAGGAAATGTGGAGTATTATGGCTATAATAACCTGTAAAGTTTTCAAAAAAGAAAATCACCAGAACCATTAGCACATTTTAATCCTATACAAAAAGAGCTCCTTTGTATAAATATATATGCACTGTAGGAGAATCTCCTACAATATTTACTTTTAAAAAAAAGCTCCTTTAAGGTCTCCTTTGGAGCAGAAAGAGAACACATCTGCTGTTCTCCTTGACAACTAAAGTATGACAAGCAGAGTCCTTTCCATCACCTCACCAAGATTCCTTTGCACCTGAGTACCTGACATAACAAAACATAACTCCATGCTCGAGAACCGGCTCTAATCATTTCCTTTTTTTTTTCTGTTCTTGCTTTCTTCCTGCAGGGCCTTTTTTTTAAAAAAAAAAAAGACCTGAGTTAAAAATATTAATCATGGTAAAAGAAGCAATTGATTTACGGAGTTGCTAGAAATATGGCGCCATATGCTATAGTCGATTTTTTTCAGCCACTTACACAGTAGTTACACCTCATTTACACCCCACTTACATATGTAATTAGTATGTAATTTTTGAATTTACATATGTAATTTTAGTACTTACATATGTAATTTTGAGACTTACATTGTAAATACACTAAAATTACATATGTAATTTAGGGACTTACAATGTAAATACATGCCGACTATTTTTTGATGAAAAATATGGCACCATAAATATAGCTACACCCTTGATTTAAATGGAAGGCATAGAACGCAAGAATGCAAATGATGTGGCTGATCGGCTGATCTAATACAGTAATACCGATTACCTATGCTAGAGTAAAAAACTAAAAATACATTAGCACACAGTGACATGGTATAGGCATCAGAAATATTAGAAATGGCTGGTAGCATTTTCAAATCATGTATTCGGTCATCTAATTTTACGGGAGTTGCCATTGGAGAGAAAAACAGGGTAGTACCATGAAGATAAGCTATTGGTCACGGTTTTGAGATCCATCAAGTTCATTGCTCAACATATGGTGAAGAAGAATATCAACCATGGTCCCCTTTGTCCTCACACTGCACAACATCAATGGTAAATTAATGTTGCAGAAATATGTTATCATGCCATAACAACTAATCGTTTTCTTTTATTACCGCACAGATCGCCGCCTGTTTCTTCCTTCCAAAGTAGGATCCTGCATGGATGAACAGATGCCCTCAAAAAACTACTAGCTATTTCAATCCAGGTAACTGCTTAAGTTTATACAAACTAAAGTTATTTTATACTTTATAATCCACAGTTTGTGTAGGCGAAGCTAGTAACGCCAAATTCTTTCTTGATTTGACATAACAGAAAGTTAGAAACAACCAAACAGATATAGTACTACTTCCAATCAAAAGCTCAAGAGAAGTGGGATTCATGAGTCGTTTGATTGGTTCCCACACTTAGCCACAATTTGGAGATGACACATGACATGAGCGCACAACCAAATGGCAACTGGCAAGCTGGCTCAGAAAGTGCAACTACAAACCAAACGTTAGCCTCAACCATCCCTCAGCTGCTCAAACTCACCTAAGGCAACACTGGCAAGGTTTCGATTCGTACTTATTCAAATAATTGTGCGATAATAGTGTAGTGTGAATCGATGTTGTCAAAGGACAACTAGGCTACCTGTAACCAGTTAATTACTGGCTTTTCAGCAGTTTTCTAAATACAAGTAAAGAGAATTTGTTGTCGGCACAAATATTGTTCTAACCTGGATATCAGCTTCGCCATCTTTCTCCAGTTCCATCTCAGCAAAAAATGCCTCCAACACAAATGCTACAATCTGAGGGAAAAAAAAGGGAGGACACAATTTATTTAATCAACAAATAATCATCTAAAAAATATAAGTAGGATAATAGGAATGTCAACAACTTTCTAACTGCATGCACATAAATAATAAAAACAACAGTATCATGCAATATTAGAAATGCCATGAATGTCACTGCATGAACAAAAACTGAAATAACTATTTAATATCTTACCAGATTAAGCAGCAGTAATACTGAAATGAGGTAAAAGCTGACAAAATAAATCAGGCTCCAATAACTTCCAGTCAATTGCCTGTAGCTCTGAAAGAAAGAAAAAAGGAGCTTCATTCAAAAGAACAAAGATAAGGAAACGAAGGTTAGCAAATAAAATAAGTCACTCAAGACATTTTGGCAGATTTTACTTAAATTATTGTAGGCAGATGATCCAGATCAATGAGCTAAATTTATAAGAATATAAATATAAGAGAGAAAATATTATCCTTTTCCTTCTGATTTATTACTCTTAACTATCTTTTTTCTAGTTGCATACTTTTTAACATCTATAGGGTAAACTTTTAAACTTAATTTCACAGATCTTAAGCATTCATTTGGATACAGTAAAATGGGCAGGCTCTACATGAGTCAACTTATCAAGGTGAAAAATAGTAAAGTAAATCAGTGCATACAAAACCACCCTCTCACCCCTCAAAATATAAAATATTCAGTGTATAGAACAAGCAAGATTGAGCACATGCATGGCTGCCATGTTCTTACCTCCATCCAAGCTTGCCAATTGCCCATCACTAACAAATTGAACAGAGTTACCATACCACTTGGATAGTCATTGAAGTTAAAAAGAAGATAGCTGCACATGCCAAGGTAAAAGAGTGAGAATTTTGTCAAAAATAAATAGAAGGTGAGATTTTAGTATAGAAGTTACTGGAACAAAAACACTTCTAAAACTTTTTAGAAATCAAAACGGTGAAATAAGAACAAAAAGGGTACTCGTTACTGAAGAGATCGGTTTCTTCTAGTGTTGGATTTCCTGCATACACAATGCCCCCAAATATCTGCAAACAGAAGACTCGAGACTGTCATCTAATGACAATAATTGAGGTGTGAAAAGTGTTTATGATATATAGACAGCAATGACGTGCTGTTTAGACAAGGAAAAGTACAAATAACAATAGTAATTAGTAACTGGACAATCTAAGAACAAAGAAAAGGAACTCCAATCACTAGTGTAAGTAACAGATTGCTGTGACCAGTAAACAAACTGGACCAGCAATTTTGTCAAGACTGCATGTGAGGGGAAGCACTGAAGAATGAGCACAAATATTTATGTTTCCCCAAAAACTTTAAGCTCTTGGATGAACTATTTAGGACATTAAACTTGATATGGAAAACCATTAGTTTATTCCAACCTGCAAACCAAGGGAGCAGTAAATGCAAAGGGTGCAGAATACAATCCCCAAATATGGCATCAAGCTAGACATCAGAGTAAAGAATGTTGCAACAAATGCTCTGAAACGCCGAACTTGCAACAGAATTCTTGTCAAGCGTAACATCCTTCCAAGAAGAAGGTACCGAATCCTGCCAGGCAAAATTCAGAGGAAAATCAGGATTATTAGAGCAAGGCAGTAAACAACGATAAATAGTTAACAGAGAATTCTGTCAGAACTGTTATCCACTCAGAACCTGTTTAAGTGACTTAATGTTAAAGTGATGATTCAAAGTAAAGTTCAGGGCAATTATTAAGATTCAACAACCCATATAGCTCAACATGATATTTCAGGTTAGAGTTTATTTTTTATTCACATGGTAACTTAAGTACATAGTTCTTAAATCACCATCATATTAGGAAAGAGGTTATTAATTTAGTTTCAGCAATTAAAGAGCATGATGCATACTAAAAGGATTGATGTTTGTATCTTGATGTACATATGATGGATTGACTAAATTTTGGAAAGTAAAGCATCCAAAACAGTGAAATTACCATTCTCCATTTGAAAGAAAAGAAAGCTTCGATGGGAAGGCAAATGTTAGAGTCTCTCCAATAACTACAATGAAATGAGAAGTCAGATGCCACAAAGTAATTGGCAAGAAGATTACTATATGCAAAAAAAAAAAAAAAGTTCTCTTCCAACGATACTCCTTTTCAGATATGAATTAAGGCAGTTGAATATACAGTACTAGTTATTTACTTATTTTCAGCGGAAACTGCATGGAACAAGAATATTTGGTTGTCCAGGTTAGGCAAAAGCTAAATTTGAAGAACATAACGCATTTGATATGACCAGTGTTATTTTCTTGGAAAGGAAACATGGTTTTGAAGTTGAGAGTTTATCATCATCCAATCATGACCAAGGGAAAATCAATTATACTCCATAGTTTTTCAGTAACAGTGAATGCACACACCTATTCTTAAATATAGTATTCTTAAAATATAACCTCTCACCCATACAATATTTTTCTAATTCAGTTTTGTTGTGAAATGCAACTCTTCTTTTGAACCAGAAATACTTCTTGGTAATATGGATTTTTCTTTAAAATGCAAGGTGAAAAGTAGCAATGGAAGAAAATAAGCAACTACACAGAACTGTTACTAAAATCGTCTCAAAATAAATTAGTAGGATTAACTTACATATAGTCCAAGTAAGCACAAAATCAAACTTGTTTTGACCTTCCATCCAGTAGGCACCAAATCCTAATGAAAATATTTTGAGTGCCATCTCTATAACGTAAATCCATCCTGCAACATTATAGATTTGTATTGACATACTTACATACGTGAAGACAAGGATATGAACATATTATTACATTACAATGCCAGCACTCCATAACATCGTGCACCATATGCACCTTATAAAAAAAGGACAGAATGGGTACTTTCTTATGAATATACTCGTGAAGTTCAATAAACTACGAATTTAATTGTGTCAAACCTCAGTGTAAGAACTTTTTTTTAAGATGATGGATTAAACCGGCCTCTACATCCAAACAGATGTACACAGCCAAGAATTGAAATAATTAAATTCACAAACGGATGTGAAAACAGTGTAAGAAGTTTGATTACATGATTTCTGATACAATATACATTTCTAAATAGAGGGAATAAACTTATGACCATTGCAATCATATGCGATTCTGTATCGACCCCACAGTACTGCAGCAACCTAAATCAGGAAAACACAGTAGACCCTTTCAACAAAATTTAAGAACGACAGACTACTACAGTAGAATACAAATTCTGAAGTTCGGCTACATAATCATCAAACCTAAGAGAAATGGCAATTATTCTTCAAGTGTCAACTTTAAGTTGGAAACTCAAGATAATATGCCAGGGAGATTTTATAGGAGATAGTTACTGCTTACAGAGCATTGTTGAAACAAAGTTCACCAAAATATGCTTACCAAAGACAAACTCAACTTCTTGCCACACTTTCTGCGAGGAGCTGTTTTCTATATCCAGCTGCAAAAATCATATCCCAGGGATTACATACAGTTTTCACATCCGTTTGTGAATTTAATTATTTCAATTCTTGGTTCTAAAATGAAGCCATGCTTCCTTGTCTACAAAACGTTGTTAAACACTAGCATAATGCCCGTATGTTGCAACAAAATTTGTTTCTAATTGTCTAATATATTATCATTGTGCTAATTTTGTTGTCATTTCACAAAGATGAAAAAATCCATAATATTCTATTGTCATATTTTCCTTGCGCTGGGGTCTATAGCATGTGGGGGCTGGGAAACAAGCAAAGTTTTGTCTCACTGTTCGTAGGTCCCGCATGGTAGTTGGGTGGTCAGGTGTTGGTGGTGGTAGACTCACCATTACCATCTTTTATATTAGCATAGATAACTTAGATTGAATAATTTTGTAGTCAACAAACTATTGCAAAGCTAATATAGTAGGCTGATTACGCTGCCATGTACTCAGTAGTTGATAGTAAACAAAAAATAGAAAACAAATACTGAGAAGTGCTAAGAGTATAAATTTAAGTCTAGCAGATATGGAAATAGAATACTGCTAACAATATAAAGTATGATTCCAAGTTGAATAAAAATAAAACACAAATTAGAAGAAAAAAAAACTGCCATACCGTTGTTTCAATAATGACAGCGACTAGATTCATCAGAAGAACAAAAATAACAATATACTCAAACAGTGGGCTCCGCACAAAAGATTTCAACCATTCACACAGTGCTGAATGATAGAAAGATGGATACTTCTCGAGATAGGATGGCTGCAAAAATATGTACAACATTAGGTCAAACAAGGTAGAATGTTGCTGCAAACAGTGCAACATCGACGTATTTATATCCTTGACACTCTTAACAATATTTGGTCATTGATACATTTGCAATTGAAGTATTCAGATTGTGTAAACAAGGGAAGGGCAAAAACATAATGTCACAAAACATTTCCTTAAACTTTTGCTAAAAGTAACAATAAAATAACAGCCAAGATTTTGCATTGGGGTTTGTGGCAAGTCAAATAGAGGGTATTTGTTTTAGGTTGAAGGAGTATAGCTTTCAATTTTCCATGATAAAGAAAGAGTAGAAAATTATGAACATCAAAATAAGTACAACTTACAGGTGGTTCTTTCTGGAATTTTATTGCAATGGTATTGCACAGTGTAGCAAATTCTTCAGAGGTAACCTGGACAAGGATAAATAAGTGAGATAAAAAAACACTAACATGCCATACCATCAAATGAGGATAAAAATTAACATCAGAATTAAGACCTCACTGAGGCATGTATACTTTCAGAAAATGGTACAGGTGATAATTAGGCCATCCCCAACCATGCCATCTAGTCTCCATAGCATTTAATGCATTGCCACATAAGCAAAAATCTGATGTGGCAAGAGAGCTAAAGAGGAGAGAGGTAAAAAGATGAATAAACCATTTCTCATGCAAGAAACCATCTCTACACAAGAACCAAGAATGAAAACAAGGGGATAGGTAGATAAAAGGAGAGAGAAGAGAGGTGATTGGATGAGAATTTAATTTGAAGACACCATCCATTGAATTGTAGTTTCTATACATAGTGTCTATATGACATAGCAAGTACGGAAACTATTTGATAGTTTCTGGGTTGGGGATGGCCTTAGTACCAGCTTCTTAGGCTGCGTTCAGAACTCAAGTTTCCCAACCTCTACTCCCTCGTTTCCCATGAGCATGCTTCCCGAACTACTGAATGGTGCTTTTTTGCACCAAAAAAAAAGTCTATAGAAAAGTTGCTTAAAAATCATATTAATCCATTTTTAAGTTTTTAGCTAATTCTTAATTAATCATGTGCTAATGTGCTACCTCATTTTCCGTGCGGAGGGAAAAGGTTTCCAACCACCACTAAACACAGCCTTAAGTGTTTTTGTTATAAACATTCTTACAAGTACTTTTTTTTTTGGGGGGGGGGGGGGGGGGGCTTAGGGGGAGAGGATGGAGGGTGAACGTGCTTGAAGAATTATTAAAACTAAGACATGCCTACTGAAGATAGTAGGAGCACGTACCTTAAAATCACCACTCTGATCAAGCTCGGCAAAAATTAATTCAAAATCTTCCCTTGAGGTTTTAGGTAACGATCTACAAAAGGAGGCACCATTCTGTGAGACCCATAACTGATCCAGGAGCTAGCAGGAATTTGGTAAAATGCAAGGATAACATCTGTCGTCATCAACTTTGGAGGGGAAGGGATGTCTCCCTACCATGTTATGATAATAAGCAAAACTAACTTACACTTACAAACCATTAAGTTGTTGGTTCAATAAAATCAATAAATGCAAAACCGAAAAGTGGACAGCATGATATGCTGCAATTGTAAGAACCATGTTCTAGGCTTCTAGATATTAATTTGACATTTTCTACACAATTAATTCTGCTGATTTCTGATATATGTTATGAATGTCAAAATAATGGAGCAAAACTGAAATAATGTAATTTGGAATAGCATTGAGATTGTAATAACGAAAGCAGACACCCATTCTGACCTGTGTTCTCTTCGAGATGGCATGTCATCTAATGAGTATTCAAGTACCAGTGCATCATCATAAAAATGGATATTTGGCTCTACAGACCAGTAAGGATGCCCATCTTCCAAAGGCAGTCACGTCATTGTTTAAAGGGTTTTTCTTTTGCTTACCATTTGCATGAGTTAGTTACCCTTTTCAGTTTTCAGTGTAAGGATAAAAAAAAAAAGACCTTCCTTAATGGATCGGCCACTTTCACAGATAGCATCAAGCTTGCACGGAAGTGGGGCAATTAGAGACTTCTTATACCCTTGGCATGGACATGGAGTTAATTTTGTTGGCATCTGGGTTGGGTGGGATCTCCTTCAGCACGTTTGCTAACCACTTTACCTACTATGGATTTAATTTTGAAGATTGGTTTCATGCATGACAGATATTGATTTTGACTGACTTAAGATTCCTTCAGGAAATGGAGGAACATCTCCACAAAAAAGATTGTAAAAATAAACTTACTACCCATAAAATGCAGTGTTTACATTCCTTGAGGATGTACCGGGAGGTACTGTATTTTCAGTGTAAATTTTTGGTACCTCCCTTGTGTTGAGGTACTTGAAGGTAGCACAAATTTAAGTTGAGGTACCTGAAGGTAGCACAAATTTAATACTAAAAGGTATGGTACCCCCTCAAGGACTAAATCACTCTATAATGTAATAAGGAGATTTGAAGGAGTGTAATGTAAGAGGGCATTTTGGTTACCTGTATTTGTTGAGCTCATCTAGTAATGATAGGCACTGTTCTTTGTTGAGATAACCCTGACCCTGATGTCCACAGATAGGGAAGAAAGGGATATCAGCAGCCAATATTAATAATACTCATGAATAACACAGCCAAACAACTAAACACGTCTATATCATCTCAATAGCAGCAGGACCTTGATTTTCTTGCTAACTCGTTTTCCCTAATCTAAGATCTATAATATTAATCTCATCACGCCTTGCGAAGGTGAGCTAGTGCTGCTTATTTGATAATTTGAACATTTAAAATAATCCCAACTGAGAACCGAAGTGATCAGACTATACTCTGATGAAGGATAACCTGAACATCAAAGTTATACTAAAGTACTGAAGTACTGCTGAGGTGCATCAGTTTTCAGGAAAACATAAAAAATACTTGCACTAAAATACGTTGCCAAATTGTGGTGCACTAGTTTGCAGGACAACATAAAATGGAAAACACTTACAGTAGCATCAATGATACCAAATGCCTTCTCTAGTATACTTTTCCTTGTACAGTCTGCCTGAGAAACTTGCTTTGCTAGCTAGATCACAAAAAATATGCCATGTTAGCAGTATGTGAAGCATAATAATAATAATAACTCAGAATTCATAACAAAAAAAAATAGCGATCATCATGTGAATTAGGACAGAGGTGAGGAACCCACCTGCTCCTTAAAGCTATCATAAATGACAGCAAGAATTAAATTTGTTAGGAAGTAAACTCCCAAAAGTACGTAGACAATAAAAAATAGTGAGGACCAACGAGAGCTCCTGCTCAAAGATGTATAAGGTTAATTTGTATGCATGTCATATGCAGGAACTATCATAAACACTTCAGTAATAGTGATGCCTTCTTACTTATAAGCAGGAACCCATACATCAGGATTATTGGAGGTGGTGAAGAGAATAAACATCTGATATAACGTGGTACCATATGACGAGAAAACAGTCTTTCCTTGTGGTGTATCCTCAAATGTTACATAAGCTAGCCAGCTTGCGAATAAGAGGAACAATAGTGAAAGGGCCTACATAATGCAAGCGACCAAAAAGATATGCATCAAAACTGAACACATAATGTGCACTAATGCAGACATAAATATGAACATGCAGAACCATAAGAAACTCATGGAAAAGTAAATTGAGGTAAACATCTTTGTAATTAGTATTCCAATAACTAGGCCGTAAAATGTAGTTCAAAATTGACTTTTATATTGGAAAGCAGAAAGGGCAGAACTCAAGAATGAACAGGATGTCAGAAGAGAACAATCTCCCCCTCCTTCCCAGCCTACCTAAATCTACAATGGTCCCACACTATTTATAAGTTGGTGTCCACAATTTCAATTCATGCACCACAAACCATCAGATGAAGAGAGTAACGAAAGGTCCCCGTGACTCTCAAGCATAGACAAAAACTTCTAATGGCTTATTCTGAAGGAATATAATCATTGTATGTCCTACAGTGCTAGAAGTATAGTAATTTTGCATAATTAATAAAGTCTTACCAAAACATTAAGGTATGTCCCAACCATACCAACCAGTGTAACAGCACACATTCGCAGTTCCCTGTCACAAAAGGAACAGTTAATACATCTGTCAAACAATCAAAAAAATAACATATATCTTAACTAACATTGACATGTATCTTTTCCTAAATGGGACAGGTAAGTGTTTGCCTATGTGTCTATGTGAACGCTAATTATAATTATTTATGGGTCTTCTCTTTGCTATGCAGTATGATTATCCTGCAGAAATCTAGGTCATCTATCTATCTATTATATTATTAAGATAGCATTGAAAGGAGGCACCACGTTCGTTGTGGAGGCTAGAAATTACCACATTAATCGGAGAAAAAGAAAGAAGAGTCCAAGTAGGAATACAATTTTAAAATAACTGAAATTTGGAATTAAAAATAAGCAATATTAGAAAAAGAGTCCATATAAGAACCCAATACACGATTAATTAAAATTTGGAATAAAAAATAAAATAAATTAAGAAATTATTAGAAAAATAAAATAGAGTTCAAATATTAATACAATTTTGAAACAACTAAAATTTAAAATAAAAAAAAAGTAACATCGAAAGAATAGTCCATATAGAACACAAAACAAGATTAATTAAAATCTAAATAAAAAATAAAATAAATTCAGAAATTATAAAAAGGAAAATAAGAGTTCAACTAGGAATACAATTATAAATAATTAAAATTCTTAATAAAAAATAAAGACAATTGAAAGAAGAGACCATCAAGAACACATGACGAGATTAATTAAAATCCGAAGTAACAAATAAAATAAATTCCAAACATAGAAAAATAATTATAAGAGTTCAAGTAGGAAAACAATTTATAAATAAAAAAATATCAGGGTGAAAAATATGGAATTTTCAAAAAAAAAAGTCCATCTAGAACACAACGATGACAAATGAGGAGGATGAATAGAAACGGTGGTAAATCGGCAACAAATAAAGGGGTAGCGACTAGCGTGACTTCTAAAAAATATAAAATTAGAAACACTTGGATGATAAAGTTCGGTCTTTCAAAGTCCTAAGACAATGAGTTAGCTATTTAACAAAATTTAAGTAAAATAATATGTAAAAAATAGATAATTTTGTATGGGTGCTAGCCGCGCAATTGCGCGGGCCACCCAGCTAGTTTTCTTTGAGATTGATTCAGTAACGAACCTTCATACTGAATTCAGAAAGCTAGCAGCAGAAACTGTAGTCTAGAGTAGATAAAACACTGCAAACCTGATATTCATTATTAGAAACGCAACACGGATGTAAGGAGCTACTCTGAAAGGTTGGGGACTAAATGCAAACACCAGTATGTCACATGCTAAGATGAAGAGAAGAAGAACCTACAAGACAAAGCAGAAATATGGATAGACCACAGTTTGTGAAGCAGTAAGAAAGACACATTTTTAGAGAGAAACATATGCTTAATTAAAGTAAAACAACAGGATTACAGTCTGTTTGCAGCGTAGGAATTAAAAGGGGCAGAGTTAGCACAATGGGTAGTCTAGTTAAAACAAGGAAGTTTATTTAGCTTGAATGTAACTGTATCAAAAATTGGAAGGGCCTAGTCAAATCTAACAAAAAAAATAGCCATCCCTCATACGTAAAAGCACATAGTTAATTTACAAAAAGTAGTTAAATATGTGAATGTTCACTCACATATGCCTTCAAATTTTAGATTTTATCTCAGTAGGGCCAGATGTAATCCACATCATCCATTATTTTTTGCAGTTACATAGTTTTATTTAACTTCAGTTTATACTTGTATGCTATCCACATCAATGGATCTTAGAAAAACAAACATGTATGCTATTCTTGCTATTTATACTCATATATATCTATTTTATAAACAGATGCCATACCTTCAGTTTATTTATTGTGTTCTTCCAGAATAGGTTTAAACCTTCATAGGACAGTGGATAGAAGATATCCATTACAAGAATAACAAGTGTGAGCCCCTGAAATTGAAAAGAACGGCAAGTTTGCGTCAAATATATCAGATTAATGTTTTCAGTCCTCAATACAGACCATTACATGTTCGTTAAAAAAAGCATGTGCATTATCCTGTTATACAACAAATAACCATACAAAATCTAGAATGATGGAATTCAGATTTTAATGTACTCAAATGACCATGCTCTGGCCCAACTAACTATGCAATACATCTCAAAGCTCAACAATAATATTGAGAAGCTGTGATTAGTATAGTCACCAAAGGTTGCTTTAATGGTCACCAACAAAGTTGAGTGTAATTACAAAAGCAAATTATTGACCTGACTTTCCAACTGCTCATTAATCTACTACCGACTGTAGTTTTTGAAGTTTTCTGCAATTAAAGTTTTCAGAGAACATAGAAACACCACTCTTATAGACAAAGCCTTACCTCATATATGAGAGATTCAGTTTTGCTCAAGTATGGCAACTGCCCCAGAAAGTAAAGATCCCTTTGATCACAAGCATGTTGAGAATATCCCCGGCACCAGAGAGGCTTCTGAAATGCAAAAGAAACAACTCAAAACATGACCATAATGGGACTTGCAGGATTTTAGCCGCTTTCCTGTACAATGTAATAGATGGGTTCCATTTTCATAACTAACCTCGAGAAAATTCAAAAGAATCAAAGCAAATAGGTTAAGTGACCACAGCCAATCCAACCGGAGATACACAAAATAGAATCTCATAGCCCTCTCAAACCTTGTGTCATTCAAGACATCCTCAGGGATACCCACACCATCTTCTGCCTGTCAAACCATTGCAATTAATTCCCAGTATATCAGAAAAGGGTGAGGATCCTCTACCATAAAGTCACTACCATTACAGTACCATTACAATCACTAGTATGTGGGTCCTATCCTCCTATTGTCCCACACGTCAGTGCCTGTAATGGTAGTGATATTATGGTAGAGGACGTGAACTCATCAGAAAATGACAACAATATCGCAAACAGGGTTGGAAATTTCGGACCGAAATTTCCAAGTGACCCCCGATACGATATTAATTCGGCCGAAATTTTTGAATTTTTCAATTTTTTCATGAATTTGGATAATATTTGTTCAAATTCAACTAAATTTTGTTTAAAATTTCGGAAATTTTGGACCGAAATTTCAGGATTTCGGTGACCCCCGATAGAAAACCCTGAACCGATAGAGTGAACCCTGATCGCAAAACACAAATGTAGACCTTGTTTTGCATCATTAAAGATACCCTAGTTGTGTTGCAAAAGAAAATGGGATTTACTGCGCTAAGTCCGTTAGCTAAGAGTGTCGACGGATAACATATATTCTTGTTATGGTACTGGGTATTGAGTGAGAATTCACATGCAAATGACACGACAGTTATAGTAAAACGTCAATTTGCACATGATAAAATTTTTAGATGGTACATTTTTAACATAATTCAAAGATAGCGCTTGCAAAAATCGAAACAAAAGTTAACAGCTATATGCAACATCGGAAATAGTGAAAGTCAACTTAAACACTGTTAGTACGTTTTCTGTCATAAAACAGCACAACTGAAACCACGCTTAATTCTGGCATTGGCACGTAAATGTGCGCAAAGTTCAGGTTATCGCCAAGCAACCTATGCCGAGTGGCGCCTTGGCCCTATCTCACGGCTCCGAACAGAGCACAAGCTGCAAACAACTACCTCGACCACGCCAAGCTCCCGCACCACGTAAACATGCCGAGCTCGGGCAGACAATCCATCAAACACCGCCCCTACATCCACGCTCGCCAGCGCACACCACCCACCCCGACAAACCCACGACCACGATCACCGCAATTCCCAACACAGGAGCAGCCTACAGCAAAGCAGCGTCGCGCTTCGCCTAACAACGAGTACGAACGACACAAGAGGGAGGCAGAGGAGGAGGGAACCGACGAGGTCGACGAGGGCGGCCGCCTTCTGGTACCGGTTGCCGTAGGCGAGGGCGTCCGAGCGGCGCTGGTACTGCCTCGAGCCCCTCCACCCGCCGCCGCCGCCGCTGGTGTGGCTGCCGGTGCCGGACGACCCGGAGCCGTGGGAATGGGATATGTGCTCCGCCGCCTCCGCGATCAGAGGCGCCTTCGCCTCCCTCATCTCTCCCCTCTCCCTCATCTCTCCCCCTCTCCCTCTCCCTCGAGTGTGAGTGGATGCAGATGTGCAGGGAGAGATCTGGAACCGCGAGCGGAAGCGGAAGTAGAAGTGGATTAGTTTACAGGAGCGTTACGCCGATATGGAAGTGGGAGTGGGATTAACTAATTCGAAGGCAACGTGCTTCGCCTTAAATCATACCACTACCGGTGGTCGTCGGCCACGTAACAGGCAGCTCTGGCAGTCTGGCGCGAGCCACGCTGCAAGTCCCCGTAATCTGAAAATCCATTGGCAGATTATATTAGAGCGCGACGAACAGCAGACAGTGTGACGCGACACTAGCACGAGGTCCTCGCGTGCATAGGGAGGCTGGTTCTGCACTCCTGATTGGCACGCGCCGGTGGCTGGTGTTTGGGCGGTGAAACGGATCGTTGGGCCAACGTGTAGTTTTCGGTACGGATGGGGGTCTGAATCATGATAGGATACCAGTCCGCGTGGGTGGAGCAGACGACGCGGGGAAGAATGACGTCGCATCTGCCTGATGCTCACTTCTGGATGTTTTTAGGATTAGGTTCCTGCGCAGTCCCCAGTGTGACGCGGGGTTCATTGAAACTGCATCCAACGGTTGAGATTATTTAAGCACTGTTTATGGAAAAAAAAATCAGACATCTACTATAGCCAGTGGCACTGTAACACTTAATCTACACCCTTCGTTGAAAAAAATGAATAGATGAGATCTAATGCAGTCATTAACTTGCAGTCCTAATTGTAACTGCATTTGATCTCAATCCATGTTTTTAAGGCCCCGTTCGTCCCTATTAGGATAGTACTAGATTTTACCTTACTTTTGTTAGCAAGTTCTTTTTACTATCGAAAACATTTTTATATAAAAAATACTCCAAAATATCTAATAAATCTATTTTTTAATATTTGTAATGACTAATACTCAACTAGTGTACATTAATAGCTCGTCTCGTTTTATGTTCACTTATTTTTATTATCATTTTTATCTATCTCAGATACTCCCTCCGTCTTATTTCAAGTGCAGCCATAATTTTTCGTATCCAACTTTAATTGTCTGTTTTATTTAAAAAAAATAAAAAAATTAAAAACATAAGTCATCCATAAAGTGGAGTACTATTTATATTTTATCATATCATAACAATAATAAAAATATTAATTATAAAAAAATTTCAAATAAGACAGATGATCAAAGTTGAGCATGGAAACTCGTGGTTGCACTTGAAATGGGACGGAGGAAGTACCACTTAGTTAAGATAATCTTTTCACGCAGAGTTGTGGTAATTTTGTTGGATTTGAAACTGGAGAGTTGGGAAAATTCGTAGCATTTGTCCGTTTTGGATCTCTTTTACAGGTTACAAATTCAAATCACATAGCCTCGGCCCAGCGCTACCTCAAGTTCCGCCTTGCTGGCTGTTTGGCGTAAAATATGAATCCGCCTTCGACCCAAGCCGACGCACCAGGCTCTGGCTCGTCCCGGATAAGATAACATCATCGGCGAAGGGCACGAAGCGGTGCTCCTCGAGCTCACTCCGCACCGCAGCCATGGCGACCGCCACCTCCACGCTCTTCTCCCTCTCCTCCCTCTCCGCCTCTCTCCCTTCCCCCGCGCAGCCAGCCCCGGCGTCTCTCTCCCTCCGCGCCGTCTCCCCGCGGGCCCGCCTGTCCGCCTCCTACGCCGCCTTCCCCATCGGTACCACCTCCCTCTCTCTCTCTCCTCGAGAGTGTTCTTCCTTTGCTCTTATTCGTCGGTGATGCGAAATGCCTTGTTCAGGTGGGATCGGGGCATGGGCGGCGGCGACGCCGGCGTCGTCGGGGAGGTGGAGGAGGAGGGGACTGGAGGTGGTGTGCGAGGCGGCCAAGACCGGCACCGCGACCGGGAGGCGCCCGGACTCGGTCAAGAAGAGGGAGCGGCAGAACGACCGGCACCGCATCCGCAACCATGCACGCAAGGCCGAGATGCGCACCAGGATGAAGAAGGTAGTACATAAAATGTGGTGCTGCCCTTTCTCGCATTGCCTATGATCCAGAGCTTTCCAATGGTTCCATCCCACTGTAAAAAAAAATGATATAGGAGTACTTAGTTGCACATTGCACGATACACTGTGCAGAGAGAATGGGAAATTAGGCGTAATTAGCTGCGTCAGTGCGTCAATCAGCTCATGAGCAGAGTTTCTTGTTAGTACGCCTTCTTGGAAATGTAGATGGATTTATGTAATGTCCACTGTCCACTGTCAAGCTCCAAAAATGGAGTGAATGTGATTTTAAAAGGTGCTGCTTATTTGAATTATAGTATCAAACTAGTAATGTACCCATGCTAACGCTACGGCGATACTATGTGATAATGTAAATCATACAACCAAAAGATAGTATGTATTTTAGCAAATCAGATTAACTTAAGATACACAAAAAAGAAAAAAGACTAAAGATAAGAAGAGTTATCTTATTGTTACTCTCCCTAGTTATACATAGTTGACGTGTACTCTTCAGTCATAAATATTTGATGTTATGGCACAGTAAAACTTTAAGAGTCTGACTTGCAACATAACAAAATCAGTCTTATATCATAATCGATCAGATTTTGTAGCTTAGCATCATATAATTTGTTTTCATGATCGTAATGAGGCAGTTCAAACTAATTTATACCATTGATACCATTTTACTATAAGACCACATCGAGACAATGGTAATATTCAATATCAATGGATTATAACATCATGTTCGCCAATCATCTACATAATGTAGTAGTTACATTGACATCTCAAAGGAGAAAACTACTAAACTGAATTTAATTTCGCAGTTACCTTTCATGTGAACTATAGTTATTCTGTCAATCTAATGGATATGCTATTATGAAATTTACCTGTTAGAGAAGCAAGAGGGGTTCATTTGTTGTACATATATTCCTTTTGGTTCCTCTAAAATAAGTTACACTTTTATGCAGCATTCAATATTATAAGTTCTTTCTATGGATATGAAATACCATAAGCCTTGTTCTTTGATTAGGTTTTGAAAGCCCTTGAAAAGCTGAGAAAGAAAGCTGATGCCACACCTGAAGATATCATTCAAATAGAGAAATGGATTTCTGAGGCATACAAAGCCATTGACAAGACAGTGAAGGTTGGCGCCATGCACAGGAATACTGGTAACCATCGCAAGTCCCTTCTTGCGAGGAGGAAGAAGGCCATCGAGATACTCCGTGGTTGGTATGTTCCAAACGCTGAACCTGCTGCTACCAGCTAGTCTATTGACAAATCGTCTTCAGGAATTCGCAGCAGATTCATTGTCAACACGTCTTGCCAATTTTGGACATGCATATGTTGTTTAAGGAATTAAATAGCTTTGTTATATTCTCTCCATTCCAAGCGATGTGTATACCTTTGGTCCATGTTATGTGTTCATGTTCTTGCTCTGGAAGCCTTGAAACAGAACTGGGCCAATACTTTTCTCCCACTTCTGTTATCCTTCACATCAGTGTTGTAAAATGACAAGCTGAAATATTTTTTTTCTATGGTAAGGATGTTTTCAAAGTAATGTACTCAGCGTGAAGGTTTTCTTGCATTACTGCCCGCAGGTTTTTGCAAATAATTAGATGTTTGTCACAAGTATTTTCAGACAAAGTGGAGAATTATGAATTTAGTAAAAATGTCAATTTCATCTATGAATATTGTAAGCAGGAGGCCCTAGTGGTATTAGTATACGCAGTAATTCCTACTCTCTCCGTCCCAAAAAAATGAATCTAGAACTGGACGTGACGCATTCTAGTACAATGAATCTGGAAAGAGATATGTCCAGATTTATAGTAATGGGACGGAGTGAGTATTCTGGATCACTGATCGGCAAGAGCTTTACCACACAGAGAGCAGCCTGATCCTCAGAAAACATGGCATGCCTCACAGAGCTCTCTTTGCCCTGCAGCCTGCAGATCGCAGGACATGTAAAGCACGGCTTGCAGATCAGTGTATTCCAAACAATAGTATAGCACATCTTCAGTCTCACGCACAAGAACCAAGAATTGGAGAACCATCATCCATTGACGATAACCATCAGTCTCTCACTGCTCCCAAAAGCATGACCTGCCTACAGCGACACACCGTGGTCATCAATGGAGCTTGTACACAAGCTTCGAATTGAAACGGCAATTGAGTTTATACATAGCAGCACACGCAAGAAAAAACTATTCCATACTCACCTGCTAGGCACAAAAAAGAGGCAAAATTCGCAGGTCATATCTGCTAAAAAGCCTGAGAGACTGTCCTATAAACTAGGTCGAGTTTCCATACTGAAAGGTACGCTATAGCTATACATAACTGTGCAAAAGAAACTGGTGGTGCCAGTTTTGAGTTTTGACACTTCAATTGGTTTTGTCACATTCTTGTGCCTCTTAAGGGTGAATGGAGAGGCCAGCTCTTCCTTTGTTACGCCTGATGGCTTCAAGGATTGATACATCATCATGCATGGTGAATGGTGCACTGAAAAGAGAGTTGTAGGCATTCAGTTAGGGGAAAAAAATCAGCTAAGTAGGAGAGATAGGTAGCAGATAAAAGCATACCCGTTGAAGTCGAACCGTGCAAACTTCGAATCTTCCGAAATCTCAATTTCCACCCTTGCTTTTCGGGATGTCTGCTCGAAGATAAATAAATCGATTAATAAACTATCCTGACCCCTCTTGCCAACACCGTATGACTCACCTGCACTGATTTCTTTTGCTTACAACCTTTGTATCAATTACTAGCATTTTGTTATAACATTACATATGGAAGACTGCAAGTCTGCAAGTACAAGACATTCCTATTCCCTAGCATGGAAGGATATGTATATCTACTAACGTAGTCACTACACAGTATGCATTAGCACCTGTAATCTACATTCTATGATGGATGATTGTACCTCACTATATAACTGCTAGTTAAACAACAAAAAACAATGTCTAAACCAGCCCATCTAAGAAATACAGAGTTAATTGAAATATGGACAGGACAAATCAAGGTACAGCCATATGGTAGGGATTAGTTGAAGGTGGCTGGATTCAAGGAATTTTCCACTGTTACCAAGCAAGAACAACTACCTTGATCAATAAGAACGGAAGGAGGATGCCATTAACACTTTCTGCTGGCCTCTGACTAGCCTGGTTGCGTAATGTAATATTCTGAAGGTCATCAAACTTGAAATAAACAAGAAAGAAACATCAGGCAATAATCAACTGCACCATCATGGTAAACTACGAAAGTGAAATCAAATAAAAAGTTGATATGCTTGCAAACAAACTTACCTGCTTTTCAATTTCCTGGAGAAGCTTCTTCTTATTCTTGATCCTGGTGATGAGTTCTTTGTGAACTTCCTGTAAAACAGAACATGATAGAAATCAAATCATATTCCTATTGATTAGTTTTAATCTAACCTTTGAAGTAAGAGCAAGTACTGACCTCCAACTTCTGTATCTTTTCGTATCTATAATTAGTAAGGCCCATCCACTTTATCTCCTTTTTATCTTTTGCAATAACACGAATTGCAATGAGCACATTGAAAGCATCATATACCCTCCGCCTAATATTCTTCTCATCAAACTACAGAGACAACATTATTTTGTATTAGCTCATCATGTATTTCCTGTAAGTGCATAGACAGCTATAGCATGAACAAACCTCCAGACCGTTCTGCGTAATGGACTTCAGCTCCGCAAAAATCTCATCGGCAACCTAGAATAGGCAATAGCAGATTGAGGAATTAGGTGATTTGCAACGTTAAAGGGGGAGGAAATAAATCACTTTGAAACATAAATATGTTCTTCCTTTGGCATCTAGTATATATTAGAGAATGCAAAAGGAGCCTCTCAAGGATAGAAATTACCACTTTGATTGGGAAAAAGTAGAAAGATTTGCATCATTAATCATGGTGGGTCTATATTATAATGGTGTAGATTGATTGCTATAGATGTATACAAAATACAGTTGTATTTATAGAAATATAGACAAGAGTTGTGTCAAATACAAGTATACTTTCAAATCAACTTTAATCAGCTCCACGCAATTTGTGCGGGAAATTCGGATAGTTTAGATAACAGGATAGGATAACAATTTTGCACTCAGTATTTGCCTATTTGGGGTGTTCTTTGCTCACTATAAGCTCTCCTGAGCTTGTATAGACTTCATCGTTGGATGTTTGAACCATAATCTAAAGCACGGTAAATTCAGAAAGACTTTATTAATGTTCTGACCATGAACCTCCAAAACTAATGTATCACAGCCTACTAGCGCAGGATACATGTGTATGGGAATACCTCATTATATGTGGTTCTTCCTTTGGCCTCAACTTTCTTAGAAACTGCAAAATAAAGTCAAATGCTCATGAAATCACATACAAGGTCAGCATTTTCGTTCACATCATGACAAGAAAACATCTACTTTTAACTGGTAAAACAGATCCATTATTACACATCTGCACCCTCACAAAATTTCTACTGACACAACCTCAGATGTCCTAGCAATTTTACAGACCAACTGCAGTGGGTAATGACCATCGTGTAAACATGATCTGTACAACAGATGTGCATATCGTATCTACATGGTGTACTCAAAATCAAAATGCTGACATAACATCAAGTTGATCAGTGGTGACACAGTGTGCTCCAGTAGTGTAAACAATGCAAGCCACACAAGAACAGACAATGTTTTCCACAAGTGCCCACTCAGACACAGTCACTCATTCCTTCACTGTATAGCCTAATTGCACTGTCTAAAATTCAAAACAGTACGGATAGCAACAGTCACCAGAGCTATCCCTCAACAAATGAAAACCGCAGGAGTTCCCCCACACCAAACAGGGCATCGTTAACTCCCCTATGGCTCAAGACGAAACCCACTCATTAAATCCAAGAGCATCATCCTAAACGCTCGAATCGTTCAATCTGTTTCGTGCGTGAAACAGTAGTACTGTACAGATTCCTCACCAAAGCAATCCACACCAGGGTTCACCATACCGCCGGTAACCGCGCGGTTACCGCGGTTACCGGGCTTACCGCCGGGGTACGGTAATGTAAATACCGCGGTAACCTCCTTAAATTCAAATAAATTTAAAAAATAATTTGAATTTTTGATGAATTTTGCACGGTTTTGTACAGTTTTTCACGGTTACCGCGCAGTAACTGTGCTTACCGCCGGGGCGCGATAACCCCGGCCCTGGCAGTTTGGTAAACCCTGATCCACACACAGGTAGTAATATGAACTCAATTGACCACATCAGGTTCACGAGTAAAAAAAAAAAATCGCTTTTTTCGGCATGGCGCATCATCTGACCTATCTTGCTGAACTCACGGAGCCCCCACCCGGTGATCCTCTGCGCCCCGGTCTTCTCCTTCTTCCCGTTCCTGTTCGCACCGCCCTCCTCCCTCTCTGCCGCATTGCCGCCGCCGCCGCTGCGTAAAGAAACCGATTTTTTTTGGGGGGGAATATCGTCCCCTTCCCTAGAGATTGGAGCAAAGGAATCAGAAGTACAGGGCCGGAATGGCGGGTACCGTTCGGGACGCGAAGGGAGGCCGGCGCCTTCGCGAATGAGCAGGTTGGCCAGGCCGGGCGCGGCGGAGGCAGCCGCCGCGGCATCGCCGCAGGGAGGCGCCATTGCGGCTCGAGCGATGCGTGGGCGTTTCGAGGGAGAGAGGGTAAAGCCGTAAAGGTGGGGTTTTTCTTTGTCGCCCGAGTAAAAATCTGGGTTTTTTTTTTCACGCTGTTGATATTTGGGCAGTACATTACAGTTTTTACTAACTGTACAAAAATTGTTCCAAATAAACACATATATTCATTACAGCCCATTTATAGATTACTACTAACTTTTGTGGCCATTGAAAAAAAATCGTTATGACGGACAGTCCCAGTAGAAGACATTAATCTACTCCTTCATTTTTATTATATTATAAGTCACTTAACTTTCTTTTAAGTCATTTTTAATATATATATATATAGCAACATTTATAACACCAAATTACTTCCACTACATCTAACATTGAACATATCATCTAACATTGAACATATTTTGATAGTTTATTTGTTTTGAGTTTAATATATTTTTATATAAGCTTGATTAAACCTAAATAAATGTGACTTAGAAAAAAAAAAGTTAAAATGACTTATAATATTAAACAAATGTAGTAGATATAGTACTAAACCCAATTTCCACACTAATAATTCAATAAAAGTAAATTTAATGCCTATCACTGCCTCTTAGGGTGCATTCGACACTCCCCTTTCTTATCTTCTACTCCATCGATTTTCGCATATACGCTTTGCAAAGAAATGTACAAGAAAGTTGCTTTAAAAATCATATTAATATATTTTTACGGATTTTTAGTTAATATGCAATTAATCATGTGTTAATGAGCTACTCTATCTCATACAAAACCTAGTTTTCTTCTCTTTCTCTATGGGTAAATGTGATCCACACCATTGTAAATTGGTTGTATTGAAAAAGTAACATTACTACTAACCTATTTATAACCATGCCATTGCAAATACTTTGAAAAATAGATTTATGCCATTGTATACATCAGACATGTTTTGAATAATTTTTTGCTACTGTACTTTGTTTGGGCCAAAATACCCAATTTACATGAGAGAGCTAAGAAGATGATGAAATAATTTCTCATACGAGAAACCATCTCTACATAAGAACCAGGAATGAAAACAATGGGATAGGTGAATAAAAGGAGAGAGAACAAAGATGATTAGATGAGAATTTAATTTGATGACACCATCCATTGGATATATAATTTTTATATATAATGTCTATATGAATGAAAACTACTTGATAGTTTCTAGATTGGGAATAGCTTAATGCACTGTCTCTTGGTCACTATTTCTAGGCCTAAATCATTGTTTTCCTACGCATCTCTTGTTATGAAAACTCTAGTGTCAATAGCGACAGATTGATGCTAGCTAGAAATTGTTCAAATTTGACACTGCCGATAACAAGTGGAGACTTGAGCACATTTGGTTAAAAGTTGGCAAACCACCATTATAACTTATTCAAGCTGTATTCAATTTGTCAATTATCATGAGCAACGGAACTGGTTTGCGCCCACACAACTTGCCATTAAAAAAAAATCAGAACTCACAACTTGCTTATGTAGTTCCATGGGAGAAGCATCTTAATCTTTTCTTTTTCTCTTTTTCTTTTAGTAAGACAGGATCTCAATCTTAACCACTGAAATCTGAATAGGATGGCCTTGGTGTTTCTTGCAAAGGCACAGTCTTCACAATTGCATTTCCACCACGACTGCCCAGCATACACGACGCAAGAAAGTAGGAAAAGATTCAGAGAAGAAAGGAGTGTGAATAGCATCAAGGCTGAATCTTCGAAACCGATGAACACGATTTACACACGAATCTGCAGAGCCTTGAAGGCCAGAGAATGTAGCAGCGGGTTAGATCCGTGGCTCGCGATCAGACGATGGTGCAGGAGTAGCCTGGGTGGTCGTCGACGGCGACGTAGTAGGGCCGGCACGCCCTGCAGCACTGCTGCAGCTCGGCGCACTGCTTGAGCTTCTCGGCGCACTCCTTCTTCTTCTTCTCTTCCTCCTCCTTCTCCTTCTCCTTCTTCTTCTTCTCCTCCTCGTCCTTCTTCTTCTTCTCCTCGGCCTCCTTCTTCTCGTCGCTCACCGCCATCACCTCCACCATGTACCCCTCCCTCTTCTCCTTCCCCTTCTTCGGGTGCCGGAGCTTGTCCACGATCACCACCACGTCCACCTCCCCGATCACCGTCAGCGTGCTCTTCTCGTCGTCGAACGTCAGCGACTTGACCCCTGCCACCAACAACCATCGACGGCGATGAGCAGTAGTGCATTGTATGGGGTGATGAAAGCTAGGAAGAGAAGCAACTAGTGACAAAACCTTTGTTCCTTGAGACGATCTGCAGGATGCAGGATTTGCACTTCTTGCAGGTGATCGGCACCTTGAGCACTATCTGATTCAGAACAATAGCACGGCAGATATAACGAATTGAATTTCATATGTACATAGGAGTGAGGAAAAAACATATGAAAGGGGTGGAAGAATTGCTGACCTTCATCGTCGCGGCGAGATTTTATTAGGATTATATACTTGGGATTAACTGATTGGTTTGTAGTGTACTATATGTGCATCTGAGAGCCCTTTCAAAAGCCTCCTCTCCAATAACTAGCTTTATATGCAAAGGGGGTGATGCTTCGACATGGTCAATGTGCACATACATACAGAGAGAATTATATTATTTTCTTCTGGACAAAATAAAATCCCAGTAGTAGTTGCAATAGTAGTACTCCTAATGATCAATAAAATACCGGGTACTGGGTGATCAGTGACTACTTACAAAATTGTTGGAAATCAAATTTAAGTCAAGGAGCTAGTCTTCAGTAGCAGGTGCAGCTTTATATTCATAAGAGGTTGTTGACATGGATGGAGTAGTTTGGAAGGCCTCTTGTTATCTGTACCTATCGCAGCCTGATAGGAGATGCCAAATCACTCCAACTGGTGCTCTTTTTTATTTCAGTGAAACGATGCAGCAATTAAGATTGCAGTCTAACAGCTGGTTTTGAGCATATAATATCTCAGCTGATCAAAGGGATGGAACGAATGCATGTTCCTGGGTGCTTCACTTCAACTCTTGTACTATATGAATTATCATGTTGACACATACTTTAGTCTTTATTTTTCTTTTAGCGCTTAAATTAACCAGCAAATTAGTAGGTTGACATGGTAGGAAGCAGAATATGCCAGCAACTAATAACACTACACAATTAGTTCTGATTTATACCCGAGTATAAAATGTAGATTTTCAACTGGTATATGTAATATCGAGGAAGAACCTGCCGAGTATTATTTATGTTTCAGACAACAGAGTTGTTTCTCTAATCTATCCATCTCAGTATTACTAGCTTTTAAAAAAATATTCCACCCCTGAATGCTGGTTGTACAGATTACTGGGAATCTAATTCAGAGAATCTTATAAGAAGTGAACGAGTTTAGATTCTTCCTTCAACAAGAAGTTGTGCAATGTACGACATAACAATATAAGATGGTTAGCAGATTAATCAGTAAAATGTCCTTGATGTGCTGCTAACTAGTTGGATGCACAGCACAGTAGTTGGCTCGGTGCTGTTAGCTTATTATTCATGTAGTTGGCTGCTACTGCAAGCCGAGAGGACTATCACCTTTCATGTTAGCCTTTGTCTTTGTACTTTCTTTCCCCAACAAAATTCAATCGGCAGGCGTCTGCCGGCCAGGCAAAAGAATAGTAGATCAGTGAGCAAAACAGTTCACTAGTTCAGAGTTCAGACACTGTCAACTGGAGAGTGGTTCCAATGGCAGAACAGTGCTGGATCTCTTTTCTAATTTCTCAAATTGTAAATACCTTCTTGGCAGATTTCGGATACTTTCTGCTTTAGTTTTGTAAAAACTGGTGTATACACAATTTGTCCGAAAGCATAGATGCATTGTTTGGCTACAATGCCTTCGGATGTGGTGTTGGGATGGACTTTTCGACGTAACGCGAAATGAGATACTCCCTCCATCCCAAAATAAGTACAGCCATGGTTTTCAGCGCCCAACTTTGACCATTCTTCTTATTTGAAAATTTTTTGAAAAAAATTAAAAACATAAGTCACGAGTAAAGTACTATTCATGTTTTATCATCTTATAACAACAAAATTACTAAGTATAAAAAAATTTCAAATAAGACGGACGATCAAAGTTCGGCGCGGAAACTCATGGTTGCACTTATTTTGGGACGGAGGTAGTAAGTCATAAGTACATGATTTGAGTATTAATTTACTGTAAACTTAAAAATGAGTCTATTTGATTTTTTTACAAAGATTTTTGCATAGAAAATTTTTGTATGAAACGTACTCCCTCCGTTTTTTAATAGATGACGCCGTTGATTTTTTTCTCACATGTTTGACCATTCGTCTTATTCAAAAATCTTATGCAAATATATAAGATATAAATCACACTTAAAGTACTATGAGTGATAAAACAACTCATAACAAAATAAATTATAATTACGTAATTTTTTTGAATAAGATGAATGGTCAAACATGTGAAAAAAAATTAACGGTGTCATCTATTAAAAATCGGAGATAGTACTATTTAACATTTTAAGAATCGTGCTTACAAAGAAGGAGGATAAGATGCCAAACCCAAACTCACTTCCCAACTCATCCTTAGCACCATTGTCAGCACGTGACCGGACCTTATCATCCAACTATGCACATAAATTGAGTGGCCGTACTAGGTTTTTATATTTTGAAAACAACCAAATACATTGCACAGCATACAAAATTAGGTCTCTCCCTGGAATGTTACTGTTTTTTTTCCTAAAACTGAGGAGATTTATGTAAAAAAAGAAGAGAACTTTTACGGTACAATATACTACCAGTATATACTGGCAGTATATCAAAGGGCATATTAGGAATTTGATAGAAAATAAAACAACACTTTAGTAATTTTTGGTTCAATTTGAATTTAATTGAGAGTACCTGGTTCCTGGATCTTATCGTGCACTAGGAGAGGAGCATCCTGAGCGCCATTTAATGACAAAGCACGTGACGATAGCACGATTTGATGATAGAATAACGAAGAAAAGATAAAATTATCCTTTCAAACTTTATACTGCAATCTAATTAAATAAAAAAATTAAATCAATCTACACCGTTAGATCATATATACTTACAGTATATACTAGCAGTATATTGTACCGTAAAAATCCTCAAAAAGAAAACCCGCAAAATTTCCATGGAACTCATTATAGTGTAGAGTTTTTTTTTTGGGGGGGGGGGGGGGTTGGGGAATTATAGTGTAGAGTTGGGTGGATGTATATTGCCATGAAAGAAAAGCAGTAGGTGGACCGTTGAGGAGTTGACGGCAGGCAATCGAGGAGCAGACAGTAGTGTTGAAAATGTCACCCGGTTGCTTGTCGCTGGGCCGCAAGGACGCAACTTGCGCCCGCGGGATGTCGCCACGGCCACGTTAGAACAAGAGGCCGTCCACCGGTTTTATTCCTTGGAAACACTAGAAATGTCGTCACGGCGATACGAAAAGTCACCGTGCACACCCCCGCCCGGGCTGCTCCCTGACGCCGCATCGAACAAACAAGCACACGTATGCCGATTGGCACCATCCACGACCATGGAATGGAGCTAGCAGCTGAGATCGGTTCGCAGAGATCAAAACGTACATTACCGATATCACATCCACGGACGAAGAAATCGGAGCGGTCAATAACTGCAACCTAAACCCAGATCGGCACGTTGAGCAGGGAGAAATCGACCAATAATAACCAATCATGCATCAAGTTGGTAGTGCTATACAGTCTGCTGCTGCTTCTTGTCTCTCTGTTTTTTTTTTTTTTTGAAAGGAGTCTGCTTCTTCTACTGCTAGCTAACCTACTGAATGCATACATGGACTGCTCAACGCACGACCGAGCCCGCACAGGTCGGTCTTTCACAGATTATATACACATGAGAGAGAGATCGAAGGGCACGGCCGGTTGGTCGATCGGTGTACGGTGCACGGCATGTTGTTCGCGCTCCGATCCGTCGCGCGCGCGCGGTGCGGGATCGTGACGGACGGTCGGCCCCGGCCTTGGCGAGATCGATCGATCGATCGGTGGTCCCTCACGCGACGAACCCGAGGAAGCTGCACGGCCAGACAGACACAGGAGTTGGCAACGGTAGTATAGTAGGATGAGCGGCTGCATATCGAGATGAGGAGAGGAGGAGAGCAAGAGCAACCGGCGCGAAGCCGCGCCCGCGCGTGCGTGCGTGTGCGTTCACCTGATGGGGCGCGCGACGGCGCCGCGGCGAGCGAAGAGCGCGCGGAGGAGGAAGTTGGCGCCGTGGAGGAGCAGCACCACGCTGCTGCACCCCACCAGCAGTAGCTCCAGCATGCTTGCACACAGCCGCAGGCTTCGGACGAAATCGATCAATAGGTAGGTGATCCGTGCTCGATCCGTCCGAGCGCGTGGTGATCCGTAAATAGGTAGGTCGAGTTGCTTGCTTGCTCGATCGGTCGAGGAGTCAAAGGTTTGCTTCGAAGCAATCTGCCGATCTGATCTGCACGGGAGGGTTTTCTTCTTGCTGTCTCTCTTTCCCTTGTTAATTCGGTCCTGGGATTTGATTAGCGGGAGGGGAGAGGCAACTACAACTAGGAAACGGGAAGGCTTTGCTTTGCTTGCTGTTTCTGTGCTGCTGTTGGGTTTTGATTCGCTGTTGCTTTCGGCGGGATACATTACTGGGGTATTTTGACGGGACCGGGGACACAGAAATCTGGAGGAGAGGAAGTCCTGGATAGAAACGAGAGGTCGGGGCCGACGTGGTTAACCCAGCCTGCCTGCACCGCACACTTGTTTTTAATAATAAGTTATAAAAACAACTAAAAAAAATACTGAGATTACATCATTATCATGATAATGATGACGATGATGCAATATTGTAGTACTCCTTAGTAGCAAGCTGTCATCACGAATTCACGATGCAGAGTTCAGACCGGTGTTCCTCTCGGATGCAACCAGCACGGTAATCCACTGAATTATTGGGCCATCTTTTTTCCCATGGCTGTGAAACGGGAACGCTGGCTCCATGCGTGCGGCCTGCCGTGCCGTGCCTTCTTGCGCAGCGTCTCAACCAAACCGTTTCCTTCCTTCTGCCAAAACAGCGTGTGGTTGAGTGACGACCGCTAACGAAGCAATGGCACCTGTGTCTTTGTGCGGTGCGGCCTCTTCCGTGGATAATGCCCGCCGTAATTAGTCCATTTTACTTGGACATGGACTCTGTGCCGGTACCGATTACGATAGGGAGAGATGCTGAGTTGCTGACACCCTTCAAAGAATACAGAATAAAATTAGTGAGCAGCACATGAGGGACGTGCTAAGCAAAATAACCTGGAAACCGCACTAACATTACGTTTTTTGGGGCTATTAATTCAGCTCCCTTCAGTTCTCGATTTGCACAGCAAATTTCAATCATCAATAACCCCAAAAAAAACGTTCAAACCGAAATTCTGTGCAGCCCACTAGTCCTCTCCCATCCAGGCGTGCTGATGAGCTTAATTCCAGGCCCATCTTCAGTTCCCTAACATTCTAAGGCCCACTTAAAGTAACATACTCATTCCATGCAGGGAATAAATCCACTTTGAGTCCCTCAAGAATGGTCCAATCTTATTTGTATCCCTCGATCGCAATAATGGATATCTTGACCCCTCAACTATGAAAACCGGTGCAATTTGTCTCCCTCGGCTATTTTAAGGGCGGCTTTCGTTGACGTGGCGTTCACATGGCAGTCTAGTCATCAAATAGATTAAAAATAAACATGGAGCCCACATGTATGTGACAAAGGAAAATAAATGTGAGGCTTGCACATCAGAAACCACCCTTATTATCCTCTGCTCTTCTTCCTTTCGCACATGGGCGCAGGAACTCGTTGCCGTCTCTCCCCGTGGAGGCGAGTAGCAGTGAAGGCAGAGGAAGTTGAGGAGGCCGCTGCTGCCACTTAGGTCGCCTCTTCTAATGCCAGAGCGCACCACCCTCCTTGTTGCGCCGGCCCGGCCTATCGAACCTTGAGCCGCTCTGCCTCAGGTCCTCCTTATCCAAGGGTCGCGGTGAGTGGCTGAGATGGTCGACGAGATCAGCACTGATGCCGCCTTCCCTGCTCTCACCCCCCTCTGCTCCACCGCATGAAAGGGCCGCTTGGTGGCAACAGGGGCGAGCTGTGTGGCAGAAGAACCAATAGGGCGTCGAGAGGTAGCTGTGTGGGCAGCGGTAGGATGAGAGAGAGAGAGAGAGAGATGAAGAGGGACAGCGGGCAGTAGCAAGATGAGGGGAATCTCTAGCTCTCTAATGCCTTCGCTGGCCAGGCCGCGCTAACCCCGTCACGCTGTCACCACCCAGGGACTCCATCGTCGACCAAGGGGACCACCCCTAACGTCATCACTAGAGGGCGGGCCTCTCAGCCACTAGTGCCATCCTCGGCATCCACAAGTCGTCACCAACACGCAGTTGTCTGGATCTCACCCCAACCTCGCATCAGGCGTGGTGTCGTCATGGATCCCGCATCGATGATAGGCCGCCGGCGCTCGTGACATCCGTCTCCCATCTCCGCCGTCGCCGAGGGGATAGGACCCTCCCTGCTGCCCTGGTCTCCGGTCGCCGGCCTTGGCTACCTACCCACTACTACCAGCTGGCCCTATGCAACGAGGGAGATATCTAGCTCCTCAACGTTGCTCGCCTCCACAGGGAGATATGATGACGAGTTCCTGCGCCCGTGTGCAAAAAGAAGAAGAACGGGGGAGAATAAGGGTTGTTTATGATGTGCAAGTCCCACAAAAATTATTTGTTCCCTTCTCACTTACATGTGGGCCCCATGTTTATCTTTTATTTATCTAATGATTGACTGCCACGTGCATGCCACATCAGGGAAAAACGCTTTCAAAACAGTCGAGGGAGTTTGTCGAGGAGTGATCATCTCTAGCGGGAGGTCGTGAGACCCCCCTTTGTGAGTTCGGCCGAGGGGTAAGGCGCGATGATCAAGAGCGTATCTCCGCTTAGGGTCTGGCTACTAGATCGCATGCGGATCTGTGTGAGAGACGAGGGATTATACAGGTTCGGGGCACCGGGAGGCGTAACACCCTACTCCTGTGCGTGGAATTATGGTGGAGTTCTTACAAGGGATCTCGAGCTCCAGGGAAAACCTAGCTGTGCTTCCTCCAGAGCTCGAGCTATCAAGAGTCGTCCCTTTTTTCAGTGGGTAAGGTCCTCCTTTTATAATTTATAAGGGGATACCACATGCACTGTTCCTACCTACCCCTCCATGGGAGGGGGGGCCCACCTAGACTGGATCAGATCGCCATCCGTGCCTTCAACGGAAGCAAAGTGGTTGTCCGCCCCTAGGTGGGGCCCAACGCCGTCCTCCGCCTGACACGGGGGACATCCCTGTCATTCCCTCTTAAATGTATGGAGATTTTGGTGGACTCATCAGGGGGCACACTTGGCAGTGTGCCGATGGGACGGGGCATACATGCCCCCACTCCGCCTGACACAGGGCGGGACATGGGGTCACTGCCACCCGTCCTATCGCCTGCGACCGGTCTGCGACCGGTCACAGACCGGTCAAGGTCGATTGACATGCGTCAATCGGGCGGTGCTGCGCGTCCGCCTACACCACATTAAATGAGGCGAGGGACGGTTGGGGCACCGCTCATTTATGATGTTGGACAGCGCCTCCTGCTCCGCCCACTCACCCCGCCACGTGGTGGCTGGGTGAGGGCCTCGGGGCGGCATGCCTCACGGGCCCGAGGGGTATGACGTGGCACCCCGAGGTCCCCTGGCCACCTCATTGCTACCTGACCTCCCCTCGAGGGGGTGGGGAAAAGTCAGGCCGCACGGCCACGAGGCCAGATGGGAAGGTTATTTCCCTCTACCGTGCGTACCCTCGGGCCCACATCACCGACAGAGTTAAATTGTATAGATTTTCATAGTTAAGGGTTTATGATAGTTTGATATTGCGGTGAGTGATAGTGATTGGATTGGACACGTAAACGTGGAACGAAGACTCGGTCAATATCGCCATATAGGCGCCACGTGGAACGAAGACTCGGTCAATATCGCCATGTAGGCGCCACGTCAGCAAAACTGCCCTCCAAAACCGTCGAGGGAGCCAAATTGCACCGGTTTTAAGAGTTTAGGGGTCAAGATATCTGGTTTTGCGGTTCAGGGTCATGAATTAGATTCGGGTATTTTTAATGGAGTCAAAGTGAACTTATTCCTTGGACATATATTTGAGAGAGTCGGTGGACTTGTTCCTTCCGTTGCAGTTCCCTAGCCTTCATGGTGCACCGGCCCATGAAGGGCTCCGCCTCCGCGCCTAGTGCCGTGGGCCGTGAAGAAGTCTCGACTCTCGCACGGCGCTCGGTTACACACACAGCCGATCCTCACCGTCCGTCGCATCAAACCCCCACAACCCCCATCCCCACCCCTTTCTCTCCCCCCTTCCCGCGAGGGTTTAGGCGCGGCGGAGCCAAACCTCGCCGCCGGCGACCATGGTGTCGCAGCACGGGATCCTCCTCGCCGTCGCCATCATCTCCGACCACTTCGGCCCCCTCGTATCCGTAAGCCTCCCCCCCCTTCTCTCGGCCTCCTCCCCTTCCATCGTTCGCTTCGTACTCCCCCCCCCCCCCCCGCGCGCTGCGTCTGCGTCTCCTCGTGCTTGTATGCCCTAACCGCCGCCGCCCGATCCCCTCTCGCAGAAGGTGTGCCGCTGCCTGCTCCGCCACGGCGCGCTGCCGCTGCAGGAGATCGTCCGCCGCCTCGAGCTCTCGCCGGGGCAGGTGAAGAACTCGCTCCTCGTCCTCATCCAGCACAACTGCGTGCAGGCCTTCAATGCCCCCAGAGGTGAGCCCCATCTGCAAATCCGCTTGCTTGTATGACCTGATTCGGTGCGCTGATTGTATCATATGTGACTCCATTGTCTGGGTTGTTAGGAAATGGTGATAAGACGGTAACGCACTACCTGGCCATCTTCGACAACATCGTGCACAGACAGCGTTTCTCAAAGTTCCTTTCTATCATCCGTGCAGACATCCCAGAGGTCCTTGCTTGTTTTTGGTTTTACTTTATGCAGTATTACATGGTTAAAATTGAAATTGACCCTAAAAGCTGCCATAGTTTGCGAAATGCTGATATGTGATTTCAATGTAGTCAGATTGTACTTGTTTTTGGTTTTACTTTATGCAGTATTACATGGTTAAAATTGAAATTAACCTTAAAAAGCTGCCATAGTTCTCGAAATGCTGATATGTGATTTCAATGTAGTCAGATTGTACTTGTTTTTGGTTTTACTTTATGATGGTTAAAATTGAAATTAACCCTAAAAGCTGCCATAGTTCTCAAAATGCTGATATGTGATTTTAGTGTAGTCAGATTGTACTGTAAATCTTGTTCTCCACTTTTGTAATGTGGGAGTTAAATGCATCCTGACCATGATTAATGTTCCAGAGTGGATGGCATGCGGCTCTTCTTATTAGCACGCTAATGTTTTTGTATTTCAAAATAATCTAGTATGTATGCACACATAAGTTGTCTTTGGTTGTCCTTGTCATAATTTTTACCATTCATAGCACTAGAAGTGCCACTGATGCAACAGGATAGCTAATACTTTATATCTGGAGTTTGTTATTCAGCACTGTCAAGCTATTGTACTGCTGATCTGATTTTTTTTCTTACTCCATTAAGGAGCATACCTGCTTTTCACTGCTAAACCCCTCTCTTGTACACAATGTTTTCCATCTCATATTCCCCATTTGTTG